TTGACCAAATCATCTTGAATTCATTGTCAAAAACTGAGTCGCTGTTAATTAATACCGCTTTACGCCTGACTGAAGTTTTGGGTCACTTGCAGGACTCTCATTTGTCCTTTGTGCTGAATCGGATTCTGGCAATTCGCGTTGAATTATGGCTGGACGATATGTGGCCGCTGTTTTGCATATCCTTGTCCACCCGCTGCCTTGGTGCCTAAATTGAAAATTGAAAAATTGCTTATTGCAAATTTGTTGCCCGCAATCGCATGGCCATTCGACTCGGAAAAGCAGAAAAGAGAACCGAAATATCGTTACATGCTCTTTGCTCTTTTGAACTTCCGCTTGCCATTTTGGCGTAGTGCACGTGCCGGACAACGGACCACGGACACCGGACTCGGACGAAGGACTACGGAATATGGACAACGGACGGTGGACAGCGGACTACGAACTACGGATTGGGCACTACGGAAGGGTCATGTCCACCCGCTGGCTGTTGCTGCTGCTCCTGCTGCCGTTTCCTGTGCGAGAATTTAGCAATATATTTTTCTTACTCCGTTTGACGTCCTTCGTATCTGGCCAACTGCAATAGCCAACATCCAGCAGCAACCAGTGCTGCCAACAAATGCTTTAAAAAAGACAATAAATATGAAATATTTTAAAAAAATATTTAAATAATTTGTTATTTAGGTTTAAGTTGTATTAAAATTATTTTAAATGAATCATAAAATCTCAACGACAATATAAAGATTAATATTTGATGTTAATTTAAACTGGTCAACAATCAGCTATAGATATTTTATAAAGACCTATACAACTTAACATAAAATATTGATTTTAGATTGATTTTTGTTTTTGATAGGTACCTTGTGTCTTTAAGGTTTAGGTGTAACTTGTATCTAAATTAATAACATTTTTATTAGGATACGTTTTTCGGAATAAAAAATTCGCAATTCAATTTATTCAAATATAGGAAATTCAAATTTATTTCAAATCGATTCTGAAAAGGTGTTATTTTTAATTTAAATTAAATTAAAAGCTAAGCTATAAAATACGAGAGGTAAGACATTTGTTGGCTAAAAGGACAAATCGGCAGCACTACGTCAAACTGCAGTGGCATTGGCAATGGAAATGGCAATGGCCAGAGCGAACAGAACGTTAAAGGAAAATAGGAAACTTTTGCATATTTTGTACTTTATGCTTGAAATATTTATGATCTCATGCAATTTGTGGCTTACTGCTTGGTCTTGGCCACCGTCTGGGTGTTTTTGGCCCGGTCTGGTGTGCTCGACTGGCCACGGGACCACATCTAGCGACGTGTCTGCCAATCTGTGAAATATGCTGCTAATGCACTTATTGCCATCGTCCTATTGAATTTATGTCGGAATCGTCTCAGACTTGCGGTCTCTGCATTTGATGCTAACTTCCCCTGCCGCTCTAATTTAGGGCGAATTTTTGTGGCACTTCCAAAGGGTCACGCCCCTGGCACTCAGCCTAATTGTGCTTCCGATTCATCCTGAACTTAATGGTTTGAGCCTCTTTAGCCTGGCATTACTTACTTCAAATTTTAACTTTTAATGAGAGGCTGTGCTAGATTGGTAATAGCTGCACACACTTTACTTCAACTCGCTGTCTTCTTGTTTAAAACAGCTCGTTTATTAAAATAAATGCGGAGTATTTTTGAAGTAAGTATTTGCTACCGATATAAAACCACGTCTAAGCTAATTAATGAATTTATTCGAAAATAGGTATTAGGGCTTTCTTGCACTTCAATTATTTAAACAATGTTTTTATTAAAGTTACCTCAGAAACAATAGGATTAATTTCACATATTCCTATTGATAGATTAAAATCCAAGAATGGTATTTTTTTAAGGCTTTTGTGGTTTTGTGTCGACCACGAAAGTGGCTAATCAATTGGAAATTGGCCTTGGGAAGCGTTCAATGCTCATCGGTAGCAGTATCGATAATGGTTGGCTCTTGGTCTTTTATTGCTGCGGAAATTTGTGTAGCAAATTTTGGCCCGCACACACATTTTTCCATCCTTCTCGCCTGTGGAAACATGTCTAGCAATCCGGCACACACTGACCAGCTAACTTTCTTTCGGACTCCAGACGGCAGCCAGGATAAGGATGGCTCCTCCTATTATGGTCCTGAAACTGCATGCACTTCCGTTAAGGAAATTACCAAACAACCCGCGCATCCGGCAGATGTGCGCCCGCAGTGCTGCTAGCCATTTCCAGACATCATTGTCCTCATCCTCTGCCCAGGATAACGAGAGCATCAAAATGAAGTGAAATTAATAAAATGCCTGGAAGCATGCTATGTAGTTTGCCCCACTGATATTTGCTGGTGCACCACAATGGTGGTTGGATAAAAAATCATTGCTAGTGGTAGTTGCGGTTGTTTTTATAACTGGAATTCAACGATTAAATATGTTAAATTTTGATTTTAAAACAGAAAATGATGTCCAACTAAAAAAGGCGCTTTTTGGAAAGTGGTGAAGCAGCTATAAAATTAATGAGTATGATTTTTATATTGTTTCACAAGCAAAGCAAAAGAAAATTGATTTTATTTTATATTTCAAAAAAGCCAAATAGTTGATCAACGTTAAAATTGCAAATTTGAATGCATATTAGAGAATCAATCTTAAGAGGCAAACTTTTGAATGAAAAATATAGTCAAAGTTTTATCTAAATTCCTCATATCTGGGCTAGTGTTATTGCTTAAAACTGAAACTTAATAAGGACAGTAAATAACCACAATCCTATGTCATTGGAAAAATATGAACTAGTAAAGGGGAATAAAAATTGATCTTGAGACACTCCACAGTTAACCCCTGAATGGCTTTCCACACAAGTATGTTCCACAATCGCTTTATTAGTTTCCGGATCCATGTTAATATCATCCGCTGCCTCAAAACAGCCAGAACTGAGGCGAACCCCATCCTTTTCGTTATTTTAATCATAATTTTGAGCACACCCCACCGCACACGGCACTCAAGTCGGTGGATAAGGTAAGTCCGCTGCTCCTTATTGCCTTTCCCCTTTCCCCTTTCCCCTTTCCCCAGAATTTCACTTGGCAAACTCATCAAAGTTAAGTTGCCTATGCCTGGGCAATATCGGTGGGAGATGAGATGGTCTGGTAGTAACTTAAGCTGCCACAGCGGCACTTCGACGTGGAAGTTGCCAGCAAATATATGTAAGTGGGTTCTATCTGTATAAATGAAATATTTTCGGCAAGCGGGATGGATGAACTGCAACCGAGGATGGGTGGGGGATTTCAGAGGAAAGAATCCCATAGATGCTGCTATAACTTGTCTCGAATTTGTGTTTGCCTTGCCGAATTTTCATTTCAATTTTCTTGCAGTTTTATTTAATCTCACTTGAGGTGCAGCAGCGGATGTTCTCGAGTGTTTGCCATTAGTTGTGGCTTTCTTGGGTTCGTTCTGTGCAGGTACTTGTACTTCCGTATTTCTATCTCTTTGTTTACTCTTGTTATTTGGCAATTTACACAATTATTTGAATACCATTACAATAACTGACCAAAGTACGGACATTTAATTTACAATTAAATAATTGCATTTAATTCATTCAATAAACTCTTTAATTTTTTGACTGGGCAACAATTTTCATATGGCTCTATTCAATCTCACTTGAGGTTGCTCTCAAATATTTTGATTTCTTTAGTTCCTACTGTGCTGTATTTATTGACAGGTACTTGTACATCTGTATTTCTATTTATTTGTTTACTCTTGTTATTTGGCAATTTGCAGATTTACCTGCATATCTTCATAATAACTGACCAAACAATACAGAGATATTAAATTTAAAATGTATTAATTAGATTGAATCTATCGACTCTATTATTCTTGCTATGGTATTTGTGTTATTGATTTAAGTTCCACATTTTGAATACAATTTTACCTTAATTAATTTGTCTACCGAAGATGTTTTCCGTATATGTTTTGCATTAACTTGAGTCTTGATTTATGTTTATTGTCTTGTCGGAGCATTTGGCTTATTCTGCTCGAGACTTGAAGCTTGTTTCAAATTCGAATTTATTCCCTCAGCCGGTTTGGCGATTGCTTTGCTATTGTTGCGCGTACTCAATGACAAAAGTTTAGCAAACAAAACTGTTTGCCCCAGCCACTTGAGCACCTTTTTCTTTGCATATTGGTCTTGCAAACTCTCCAACTGCTTGGCAGAAATGTTCACCCAAATATAAACTGAAAAGGAGAAAGCCATGAATGAGCGTGAATGCGTATGTACATATAGCAATTCCATTGGCCAAGCACACATCCCCACATCCCCACTTCCCAGCACCTTTTCTTTTTCGTAGTTTTTGTCAGTTGCAATTTGTTCCCAATTGATTTCCAAACACTTGGAATTTATTGGTTTTCAAAAGTTCTCCAAATTTTATTGTTTCCGTTAATTCCTTTTGTCCAGCCCAGGCAGGATTATAGTTGTGGAATGGCCTGAAGATCCTTTTTGGTTGAAAAGTTAGCCCGGAAATGAAATCCTTAGAATTGAAAGACCTTTGTGGCCCAAGCGTGATTCCTTGTCATTTTTTTTACTCAAGGCATGCATACACATGTGGGTAAGTCCTTCTGAGAACTTTAATTGAGAACTTTTAAATTATTGTATGGGTAAACAAAATTACAGTCTTATTTTTTCTTTATTATATTTCACGGGATTCGGTTGATGGTCAGTGATTCATTGTTCATTTTGTGTTCTTGTGAACTATTTTTTAAAGTCCGATTTTATTCCATTGGTATAAAAATGTAGTTGGAATAATCCAAATATTTTTATTATTTTATTTTATTATTTTTTTATAGTAGTAGTTTACAATCCTTTAAATTATAAATGTTCAAAAAACTTAAAGATTTTTAAAAAGCTAATAATAATTAGTATTGAAAGTTCATAATTTTAATCACTTGATCTGGCAATGTTTGGCATCATCTGTTGGCGTTCGATGTCCTGTGCGCATGTCCTTCGCCTTGAGCTGCTCAGCTGTGCCGCATTGTTTTCCTGTTTCTATCGACGCGAGTAAAATTTTTGTTTAAATGCCAAAAAAACACAATAACTATAAAATTTAAGATCTATTTCATAAGAAACAAAATTAAAACAAATCAGAGCGTTAAACAATAGGTGGTTAGGATATAAAGTTCGTTTGCCGAGTTAAATGTATTGAAAAGGTGATGAAAGTGTGTTAAAAGCACCTGCTGAAAACCACTAAGTGAAAATTCTTGAAAATTCATCGCTTGAAACCCAAAGCGGGCCAGAAAATATATAAAATGGATTACCTAACGCAATTTGGTGAATTGAAGCAGCTTTTTGGAAAATAATTCACGACAATCTTTGCACAGATTTTATTGATTTTTCCTTTGTAATTGGCCAGCCAAGAAAAGAGAGCGCAATCTCAGTCCGCTCGCAGATTTCATTTTTTCTCTCCTAAAAAAAGCCGCTCTCTTTTTCCCCCTTTGTTTTGCTTAGCTTGTTCGCAAATAAACATTCAAAGAAGTTTAGATTCCTTTAAGTTTCCTCAAAAAATGCCAAAATAATTGAATAAAATCAGAAACATAAGCAAGCCTCGATGATAAGTTGCACATGAGTTATCGAAAAATAAGCGAGATATAGGGAAAGTACCGCCCTGAGAGCAACAAACTAATCTCCCCGCTCCCTGCACCCCAACATGCTGAATAGCCGGAGCCCCCCTCAGTACAGGCAGCATTCCCCGGGGGGCTCCGTCGGCTCCGTTGGTTCCGTGGGTTCCACCGGCTCCGGCAACTCCACCACTTCCGCGTCCCAGTTGCTTGGGCACTACCAGTCCGCCTACGGCCAGCAAGGACACTCGCACGCCTGCTACCAACACCAGTTGCAACAGCAACATCAACAGCAGCAACAGCAACAGAAGCTGCAGCAACATCATCACCATCACCACCACGGAGGACGCACCTCGCTGACACCCACCATGAAGCGGGGCAAGAAGCAGTGGGGCACCAGGGAACGGTCGGGCATGAGCTTCCTCATCGTCATCACATTCTTCGCCGTCTTTGGATTAATCATTCTGACAGAGGTTAGTGAAGCTAGCAGTCGTTTATAGTCCTTCCTCAAGGAAATACAATTTTATAAATGAGAAATGATTTTAGGTCTCATTTGAAGAAATATTACAACTAACCATTGATCTTCAAAAATGTGTAATTTATATTATTTTAGCTTAAAACGACCCTCTCGTATTGAAAAAATAACAAATACAAGCCCTTTGTCAATAAATTTAAATAATATTCAGAAATACAAAGATTTGATATACCAATAAAATATTATTAAAATATTCTGATATAGGCTTATTTAATAATTTTATTATTAGTTTAATCAGTCTTGTGCTATTTTGAATAATTTGGCATAAAACCGCAATCACATACAAATATTTGTTTCCTCCTACAAATATTTGCATGTGATTGCGGGTTTATTTCATTTTAAAATAAATTCTTGCACAAATAAATTAGTGGAAATTGAATTTTATTTTAAATTCTAAAGCCAATTGGTTAATAATTAAATTTGAAATTATAAAATAATTCAAATTGTAAATGTACTTTTTGCAGCTGAGTAATAGCAATTAAAAATGCGAGCTTTTCATTCCTTAATGAAAGCCACTTGAAATTCAAGCTGAGCAAGGGTAACATTTTCACCCTCTACCCTGTTTTTTCTGCAGGTCTTCATGATCGACGAGCGCACCCACAGCGGCATGTTGGCGATGCGGGCGGGCGGCGGGGGAGGGGCCAGCTTGGGCGGACGGATGGGCGACTCGATGCCGGATTATGATAATGTTAAGGTAAGTTTGGCTATGCAAATCGGACCGCAGACGGCTTTGTGGACAACTCGTTCGTTATGGTCCTCCGAAAGCGGTGGGAACCTAGAAGATGTGCTGGGCAATAGGATTTGAATACTTAAACAAAGAATTCGTTTGTTTTTGGACATATTTTTAAAATCAGGAAGTACTCACCGTACCGTAAAATAACCTAGAGAAAGGGTTTTATTAAGTTATATCTGTTATTGAATGTGATTTCACTATTATTTACACCAAAGTACTATAAATCATTCGACTGAATATATTGCAATACCTATTTTATTACCAATTTATTATTATTATTTGCTATAATATATTTGCCACCTCCTTGCAGGAAGATTATGATCTATTGGATGCCAGCATTCTGAGTGATAATAAATTAGGATTTATACAACTGCGGGACAATAAACTGAAAATTCAAGGTGAGTATCGTCGTCGTTGTCACACAATGAGCCATAGTAATGCGAAATCACAAAAGAGATGGCTATGACAATGGCGCATTACGTATACGCCGCATGTCTCATGCTTTTTCCAATTTCCCAGCAGAAGCCGCAGTCGCCGATGGCCAGCGCTTGGCAGGAATGCTCCTTAACGGGGGTGTAGGGGGCGGAGGTGGAGCAGGAGCCTTTGGCGTGAATGTACCGCTCATACCCTGGGGCCAGGTGCTGCCCGGCAAGGTGGAGGAGACCCTGCCCCACTTCCCATTTGGCACGCGGCCCACCGACGGCGCCTGGCAGGTTGTCAACGGCACCCGCTTCAAGTTCTTTGTCTACTCCGCCTACTTCGATCGGCGCGAAGGAGCGCGTCTGGTGCGGGTGGTGGGCGCCACGAAGACACGGGGTCCGGAGAGGGTCTGGTGTCGCTTCTGGTACGGACCGAGTCCTGCCAACGCCTCGGACACGGGCTCCTCCTCCTCGACACGTGCCAAATACTCCTCGGCCACTGTGATGGCTCGCGTCAAGGTGAGTCGCCGTTCCCTTTTTCAATTTTCCACATGTCCGCCCAAATATTGCCTTGATTCTTTACCAGAGATAGTTTAAAGAAGGCTTTGATTGGGTAAAGTGCATTTCACTGATAATCTTTAATATATATTATATTTATATACAATGCCATCATGGTAAACTTGTAAAAATCTACTACTAAAGTCTACTTGCATTAAATTTTCTTTAAAAACAGTTAGGCTTAAAGGGTAGAAATTTAAATAAATGGAAATATAAAGTTTTTTATTAGCCATGACAGTATTTAAAAGTCCTCTTTAACTACGAATCTTAATAATTACTCATGATGATCGGTCACCTAAAACACGATTGATAATTCTTATAGAATAACTTTAATAAAACACTTTAATTAAGAATATATAGGCTATATCTGTACAATTTCTCCGAGGTTATCGAAATAGTAAGGGATAATCCTATTATAAAAATAAGTAAATTAATAAACTGATTGATTTTATGATTAAAAAATGTGATTTTAATTTTCAGATCATTCGTGAGAACTGGAATCTCAAGTACAGCGCCTGTTTTATCCTGTGTCCGGTGCGCACCCCTCCCCTGGCCGTTCCCCATTTTGTGAGCGTGGTGTCCCGCCTGCGTGCTCCGCCGGGAAATCTGCTGACCCTACGCAATACCGACCAGGATGCGGACTTTGCGGCGAATCCAACGGGCAATGCGAGTGCCAGGAGAGGATCGCCGGTGGGCAAGGCTCCGCCGAGTGGCGATAATATACCCGACCGCATTGCCGTGTGCGTGAAACCCCTGCACTTCAACTACGATCAGGCGCTTTATCTGATGGAGTACCTGGAGTTCTACGCTTTATTGGGAGTCTCCCACTTCACCTTCTACAACCACACGCTGGGACCGCACGCCTCCTGCGTCCTGCAGAGCTATCAGCAGGGCCTTGTCCCCGGAAATCTTACTGCCCACGACCTGGAGCCACTGCAACCGGCGGAGGCGGCCAACAACGTCACGCCCCGCGTTCTCAAGTCCACGCACTACCAACGACCCACTGTCAGCATCCTGCCGTGGAACCTGCGCATGCGCAGCCAGAAGGAGATCCGCACCGAAGGACTCTTTGCCGCACTGAACGACTGCCTCTACCGCACCATGTATCGCTACAAGTATCTGGCCCTGGTTGACCTGGACGAGTTCATTGTGCCGAGGTACTCGGACACGCTGAACGAGCTCATCACGTGAGTCCAACAACATTTCCTTTAAAAGTCAATTATTATACACCATTTTAATTCGGCTGTTTTTAGCTTACCAACAGCAAAATTTGTTAACCTGTTTATAAACGGTCTCGCAGAGATAAAACTGACTCAAGCAGTTCAAGGTTTACTACCTTTATTTTTGAATACTTTTTTGCTTTTTAAAAATCTTTAAGTCTATAGAGTTATAACTGTTAAATATTCTGTAAATTTTCTTTACAAGATTTAAGGGTTTCAATAATTTTTTTATCATTTAAAGGGATTAATCTATTTCTCATAATGTTCTTTTAGATTTGGCATCTTTAGTAAATGGGAATCTTGTTGCAAAGAAACAGCTACATATTTAATAGATGTTATATCAAATAATTTAATATCGTACCATTTGTGTATATAGGTCCCTAAATCAGCGATTTCGAAATCGGAACACGGGGGCCTATTCCTTCCAGAACGCCTTCTACTACCTTCAGTTTGCGGATGACAGCCTGGCTAGTTCGGGAATAGAGGGTGGCAATGACCAGCTGGCCAGTGTCCGTGCTTCGTTGGTCACCCAACGCAAGACACGCAGGTGAGTGGACTTGATTGATGGGGAAGAATCAATAAGATTAATATCTTCTGACACCTATATCTTTCCAGGCGCTATAAACTGCACCCTCAGAAGCAGCGATCCAAGTACATCTGCAAACCAGAGGCAGTGGTCGAGGCGGGCAATCACTTTGTGTGGGAATTTGCACCTGGGAAGGGATCCCTCAATGTGCCGCCCAAGGAGGCCATTTTGCAGCACTATCGGGTTAGTATAAAAAATTAAATGAAAAGTTCCAGAAATTCGTTGCAGTTTTCCAAAGCATAAATCTCATTAAATTTCATACCTTTAAATTAAGTGGATACTTTAACAAGGAACCAAATTGGGTGTTTTCAATTTATATAATGCTTTGGATAATGTTTTTTTATTTTACTTACTGTTTGTGTTGATGGTAAGTAATTTAAATTCCTTACTTCATTCCAACTAGGTGTGTGAATTCGGTGGCAACGATTGTATCAAGGCTCCATCGATAGTGGATCGTACTACCACTAAATACGTGAATCGTCTGGTCCAGCGGGTGGATGCTGTGTACCGCCATCTGCGCCAGCGTTGCGATCTTCCTGCTCTGCCCCCACTGCCCAAGATCCAGGATAGTCCCAAGGAGAAGCCCAATGAAAAGACCAAGGATAAGCTTAAGGAGAATACCAAGGAGGAACCCAAGGATAATTCCAAAGAGAAGCCCAAGGATAAACAAAAGGAGAAGCCTAAATTGCTGCAGCAGATGCGGGATTCCCAAGCGAAGGACACACGGGAGCAGGGTGTTACAACGAAGGAGAACTTAATCAAAGGAGTGGCTGCCACAGGTGCCACAACAACCACAACAACGAAAAGAGCGGCAACGAAGCAGCAGCAGAAACCCATTCCACCAGTCAGCACCACAATGATCACCACGGCCAGGACTTCATCAACCGCCAAGCAATCGGATCCTTCGGCCAGTGTCCGCAAGAAAAGGAAGCTAATCGTATTCGAACTCAATGATTTTGGGATACCCGTGGCCCGGGTGGAGTATCAATGAGATAGGGACTCCGTTTTGGTTGGCAACATTTAGACGGCGCTTTGGTTCACTTTTGTGCCAATTAGTTTGAGGATTTAGTTTGGTTGTGTTCCAGCACGGTTGATCAACTTCATTGGCCATTGTCAGAGTGCTCAACAAATGAACTGACCTCTTCGATTTAAGTACATCTATTTCTTTGCTCACCTTAGAAATAAAATAGAGCACGTAAATCCAAAGCAATACCACATCATCCAAGCAAATATGATCTCAAAGTAAAAATCAAGCTGAGTGCAATAAGAATCCAGTATGAAATACATTTTTTGTTAATTCTTATCACATTCAATTTTTGTTTTAAGTTTAAGTAAACAAAATAATTTTGAATATTTTACAGTAGTCTAGATTATATATTTATCCAAACGGTTAATTTATTTGAAACACTTCAATAGGTCGGCTTATTTAACTTTTCTACTGCACAAAAATACTCAAACAACGCTAGATAGAAGCAACTAAAAAATGATAATCAATTATCACATCTTAGTTTGTTTCGTTAATTTGGAAAATAATTTCCTGATTTTGGTAATCCTAATGCAAAATTATTCCTAAGCAAAATTCAGAAAATTCCTAAAGCGAAATTCATATGTAATCTAAGCCATTGTTTCGTGTTGTAGACTAAGCAATAAAATATACAAAAATGAAAGCAAAGTAAAGGCAAGCAGATAATAAATATGTATCGATATTTTCCCTGTAAACTGTTAGTGCAACATTACCATTTAGTAAGGGAAAAAGTCCTCCGAGGTACGCGCTTAGACTCTGAATTAGTGGATTAATGAGAGCTTAGGGCATATCTGCTAGTTCTAAGGCTTGTGCTGGCAGCAAAAAATTAAAAATAATTAGTTAAGGCTTACCACAAAACTGAATCGAATTTTCAATGCTTCGAAGTTTATATCCTTTTTGTTTAGCTTAGCGCGCAAAAGGTATAAAATTATAGTTAAGTAAGTTTCATAAACGAATGATGAAATAATAAATAAATAATTAGTCGGTCTATAGCTATTAAGTGGCTATTTCAGATACTTATGAGATCTATTAAAATACAAGAAGTCAATAAAATTGCGAATAAGCAAACTAAGATAGAAAACCTGAGTTTTATTTCACTAATTAAGGTTCATTCATTTCCCCTTTTTTCTAGACTTTCAGGGGTAGTTGCTTGTTATACGGGGCGTATGGGTAATACATTTTGGTGTTATATCTGAGCATGCTGGTATAACTGCCATATGCGTGTAAAGAAAATATCTTTGTGTATAACATTATACAAAATAAAGTTTTCTAGAAAACACGAATCGAAAAATTGTGTTGCTTGTTATACAGGGCGTATGAGCTATGACATTTTTGACTTTTATTTTGGGAAATTAGAAAAGATTTTTGTATAAACAATATACAAAATAAAACTGTTCTAGAAAATATAAAAGCACAAAAGTTCGAACGGTACTTTGTAGCAAAAAATTCTTGTAAATGCTATAAAACATGTGTCCTTTCAAATTATATTGTCATACGAAAGCTCAAAAGTTCAAAACTTTGCTTGTGACATTCAATGTTTATAAATGCCATGCCATAAATGTATCTGTATAATAGTTGAGCTAACCCTTTTAAGGGGCATCCATACAGTTCATTTGCAACACACAGTTCATTTCCAAGATACATATACAAAAAGGGGAAGTATTTTGAGTGTAAGTAGCTACGTATAAAATATATTTTCTCCACCTTAGTTTACGGCAGTGGAACTAATATATTGCGTTTTAGTTAATTGACTTAACTAAGCAACAGACTAATTTTTTCCTTTAAGGAATAATTGTAAGTTTAATATTTTATTAAATAAATCTTTAAAAGACTGGTTGACATGACCTTTCAATAAACAGAAGTTTAACTAAATAAACTTAAATTTTTCAATGATGGCGACAATATCCCATAATTATATTGAAATCGAATGCGTAAGGAACCGCAAAAAAATGTGTCGTTTCATTGACGAAGTTAATCGGTGGCTACAAGCTGAATCAGACCATCCAAACGACTGTCCTCTTTAATTTTAACTTTTGGTTGGGGGATAAAAAATATTATAATTATATGTAACTTTCAAATTGATTCGCTCTTGTAAATGTGTTTCTTTTTAAATTAATTGGAGTTGCTATTATAAAGTGGCATGAAAATCAGGCATAAAAATAAAAATGCATTTTCACTCTTTAATTTATAAAATACTTACTTGAAATATGCAAGAAAGTTGAAAGACTATAAAGATGGTATTTGATTTGGTGCTAAAATGTCAAGGAGATTGATAAAGTCATATGTCACTATTTATAATTATCGGTGAATTAAATATTATTACCTATTTTTTACCTCAAAATGTATGAGAGAAAGAACAAATATATTTATTGTCTGTTGCATTAAAGAAAATTTTATTATGCTTCTTTTACCCCGCACCTAATAAGAAATATACGATTATGTGATTATTCCGACTTGGTGGTGTCATCTCCTTGCAAATCGGAGACATCTTCGGTGGTCGAGTCCTCCTCAGAGCTGGAGTCGTCATCGCTGGCATTCTGCTGGTTCAGATAATCCTGGATGATCTCGTCGAGCTTTCGCTCCACACTGGGCTTCTCCAGTTCGTGCTCTTCCAGGGTCTGGCCCACACATCCTCCGGCATCCAGGCCCACGGCCAGCAGTCGCAGTCCCTGCAACTTCAGGCTGAGCAGCTCAGCCGGAGCCGTCTTGAGTCCACTGAGAGCCTGGTTGATGCCACTGCGACAGGAGAGGATGCCGAGGGGACTCTGCAGGCAGAGCTCGATTTGGGCACTCACATTGTTGGTGGCATTGTGGTACTTGACAATGGCCCGGTGGACATTCTGCTCGTAGATGCCCTGTCGCACCTGCAACTCCTCCACGCAGCTCTGCAGATAGCCGGAGTATCGGCTGACCAGCTCGTCCAGGATTTCCTCGGCCTCCTGGTTGCCAACGCCATTCGTCTCCTGATCAACTCGATCCAGTTGGGCGTCAGCCCAGTTGCTCCACTTCTCCTGGATCTCGGCCGCATACTTCTCCTTCTCCTCCTCCAGACGATCGTTGAGGTTCTCTACGGCTGCCTCCAAATCGGCGACGGTGGCATTTACGGTCTGCAGTGCGGCAAGGGCATCCTTCAAGGCCTTTCGCTTCACCACATTTCGGACTTGGTTAATAGCACCGCGCAGCTGTTCTATGACGGACCGCAGATCGGAGGAGAAGTCCGCGATTCCTTCGGTGGCAGCTCTGTGCAGAGCCTGGGCGATTTTGTGGGCAAACTCCACCGTCTCGTGGGAGTACTGGGCAGTGGCGTTCTTCACGCCGTCGAGGAACTCCCCGGTTATGGCCGTTCCATTCTTGGTGGCATTGGCGAGTCCATCGAGGATTACCTGGCCGGTTTTGTTAAGGTTATCCCACAGCTCCTCCAACCCAAAATCCGGCTGCGGGCTGGAAACCGCACAGCTGGCACTGAGGGCGACAGCGACCAGGAGCAAGGCTGTCTTGGTCGTGTGCATCATAGATCGACTGATAATGCCTAATCGCATCTCCACCCCGTGCTAACTTTTATATATCTCTACCAAGTCCGCTTGTGCAAATACGGTTGCTGACTAGTCCAATATTGATAGAGAGTTGCATTTCATCAATTTAGTTAATATTTAATCAGATGCTTTCCTGTTGACGACAACGTTACCCACTATGATCGATTGGATAACCAAGAAAGCTAATAGCTCTATTATTACAAAAATATAACGCAAACTATAAAAAAATTAAATAAGATCGTGAAACAAAGTAACAGTCATCAAGTGTTACTCACAGTATAATGAACAAAATATCGCTATAAAACTTAGGAAACTTAGAGTTGTGCTATGCTTTGAAGGGAATTTCTGTTCATGTAAATATTTACAGAAATGTTTTTTAATTTAAATATACAGATAAATCTGAAATGAGTATAGACAGATGTAGATTAAATAAAATGATAATTCAAGCAATTGTATTTAAAATTGTCAAACAACCTTTAAAATCTCTTTCCCCGTTTATATGCTATGATACACATGTCTGCTAGGCTTATAAATTAAATTAAATTAATTAAAATTATAATAATGATTTTATGATTAACACATCGAATACCGGAAATATTATTTAGAAAAAACTTCAAGTTGCGATGTTTATAAAACTGTAAAAGGTTTAAAAATAATTTTAGTTTATAAATTTGATACTCATCTCTCAGCTTTATGGTAAACAAGCATTTTGTACACTTAAAGTTTAAAATGTAACATCAACGATTTGAAGCCCGCATATGCGTATTTTTGTTTTTTAAAACCTAATAGTTTTCTTTTTCAACGCGTTCACATCTTTGAATTAAATAATGAAAGTAAATAAAATAAGTCAATTTTTCAAACCCTGAAAATTAAAGATTTCCTTATGCGGGTCTCCCACACATTGCCATAATGCACAGTCAAACAAACGCAGTTGCAATCCCTCCGCCTCCGCATTTGCACAAGGACAAAGGTTAAACTTTGCTTTAATTTTGAAATTTATATGCCTGCAAAACAATGGAGCGGGAAGGACGAGTAGTGAGTGGGTCGTCAACGGTATGTTTACGCTCAGGTTATACCCTTTTGTGGCGAACTTTATGCATAACTAACCGAAAAGATAGGGGGCGGATGTGTGGGCGACTTCGGAGGGAGGGACCTCGTATAATGATTGTCTTCAGCCTGCCTTTATTATGACTTTAATTGTCGCTTGACAAACGTTGACACACACCGACCGACCGACGGGGAAAACTAGGAAGGTAGAGGAGATATATGTGAGTGGTAATGGAATGTGGCGAGGCCTTGAGCAGTATGCAGTATGAACATTTTATTAGTCTGCTGTTAGTTTTGTTTAATTATGCTGTCATTAACTTTGTCGCACAGACACACGCACAAACTGCAAAACAAAAGCTTACATGTCGCAACGCAATTATTGTTGGAGTGGCCAACAAAGAGCTGCTCCGCAGGACGAGTGGCCAAGGAGGGGCAAGGACAATGAGTTGGCTGTGCGACACCCACAGTCTTCTTTCCCTTCCTCCCCCTCCCCCTCCCCACCACTCACTCACCATGCACAGACATTTAATTTTGCATTTTCCACTAATTGGCTTGCATACTTGCCATATTCTCGCTTCGCTTAATTAATTTAATTAGAAATATGTTCCAGCTCAAAAGAAATTCAAACCTCAAAACCGTTTCAAAAGCATGCATCCCGTTTAGCTTATGATAATAATGGTGCTGCAATTGCAATTACGTCTATAGGGAGTGGTGGGGTCGGATGGGTAATACCTTGTCCTTAATGGCTCATCAGCAGATCAATTCAAAGGTGGGGTATTCTGATTTTTTTAACGAACGCAATTTCATGGCAGCTTTTTATAAGGTATACTGAATGGGTCGTAACACTTATTCAATTTAATTTGTTTAAGTGGGAACACCAAAAATATTTATTATCACCTTGAAACACAGCCGACAGAAACGCATTTTAATATGTCAAATATCATCTCATAACAGTAAGATTGGTTAAGATTACATTTTAATAAACATAACATATTAACATATTATAAATATATCTTCGGACTTTATCAATTGTTTTTGAATCTTAATTAGTCCTTTGTGAAAATATTCAAAGATTTTTTTAAGCACATAGCTCTGACTTACATTGTGAACTTCCAAGAAATTGTGTTTATAAGCCTGGATAAGCTTAAATATTTCTTCAAAATTTAAATTAAAAATTCAATTTTTTAAAGATAAATTTCTTTACATTTTTTAAATGGTAAGACAACATAGTAACCGTTGAATCGATTATTTTTAAAACATAAGTTATATACGGTTGATCCGCGAAAGGGCATTATTTCGACCAGCACATGGCTGTGACACAACCTTGCTTTTATGCCTTTATGCTGACCTCTGCAGTTGCCATGAATGCCAGCAGGACATGGACCATGGACCTAGGAGCAAGGAGCAAGGAGGTGGGAGGCAGGAGGAAGGAGGCAGGAGCAGGGTACGATGCCTGAAACGATTCCATGCCGTTGCAATCGCGGCCATTAAGTCATTTTGTTTCCTGTAACATTTCCGGTATCTTTTTAGCTTCGTCGCCGCTTCGAGTATTGCGAACTGTGGACAGGAGAGGGGGGTGGGGGGAGGGGCTGAGGTCAAAGGGCGGCGAATTGCTGGAAGTGCTGCTGATTGGGGGTGGAGCGGATGGTTTGGGTGGCGGTGCGGCAACAAATGCTTTTAAAGTAGATGATGGCGCGTTGGCTGCTTGGTCAATTTATTGCTTACCAAATGTGCTGCTGGCCGGGTTTCGAATGCAACTGAATCCCGCACCAAATTGCAGCACGTAAAGTGTTCTCTGAAATTAACTTGGCCCTCTTTCAAGCCTGCCTCAGATAAGGAGAAATATGTGTATATAAAAAAATGTGAAATAATGGTTGCATTAATGATGTCCATCGAGCTTTAGGGGGCTACAAAATGTATTGCAATTTCAGCGAAATATGAGTGGAATCGAGTGCACGACTCGTGCGATTAAAATAATTCAAACAATTTTATTGCCAACGAATTTAAAGCTGTTTATTAAATAATTCAAGTTAACCAGCTTAATTAATATATGGAAAGACAAGAACAAATTTGTACGACCTTATATACATAATGTTGTATTTTTTGTTAGATTTTATTGGAGCCATCGCTGGATATATTAGAATCTTGTTATAAATCATATAGTTTATAACAAAAAATCCATTCAGTATATTTTCTTTTGTAAAGAATGCCCCCTTACACAACAAAAATTCCCAGCACACTGTAAAATAATAAATAAAATCAGAATGAAAAGCATATGCACTAACATATTTTTGTGAAATACCTTTACTATAAGTGAAGTCAACGAGTGGAAGATTTTCGAGAGCATTATTTTGCATATGCAGGAGGCCATGATGAGAGACCCGTTTGCCAAATCCTCGGGGGACACATGCGGATACTTAACGGGCATTGCTCATACGCAGCGTGGCCAAGGAAGCAGTGCAAGAATGGGAATGCGAACTGCAGTTGGCTGCCCACGGTGTCCCGTGGCGCACATACAACAGATTTAGTACGGCAGCTTTTATCTTGTCGCGTTCCTGGACGCTTTGGGGATCAGGCGCCAGGTGGCAGCGAAAAGAGTCGTGTACATTTGTCCTTACTCCGTGTATGGGAATGCCAGCCGGGCACTCTCGGCTCTCGACTCGCGTCTCTCGTCTCTAACTGCAAACGAATCTCTGGCCATATCTGCTCCTCCATATCGCCCGGCAATCCCATCAGCCCCTTACTAAATGTATAACAGCAGTCACTTAGCGCACTGCCACCATGCAAACTCCAACCTCCAGGATTCGAGCAACATTGTGTGCGGTCGTTACTTCATTGGCACAATCCCCAGACTCGAAATGCTCGCTCTGGCTGCTTTTGTTGCCTTCATTGTTTTGCTGTGCATTTTATTTTATTCTTTTCTTTTTTTCCCGTTTTTTTCGCCACGTATTTTCTTTTAATGCGCTGCGGATTTGCTGTGAATTATGCAGAGTGGGGGGGTAGGGCATATCTGCCAACCTGATGAGGCCACCCACCTGGCCTCTATCTGTCTCCCAGTTGGCCCTGCACTCTTATGCTAATTAAGTTTATGCTAATTTAACTTATTGCCACTAAGTTGGCCCACATATGCGGCCAGCCACAGGAGCCGTCCTTTTATTTTGCCGGTGTCGTCCCGCTTTTAACCCATGGAAATTTCGAAAAGCGATCTGGCTGCTGTCACAGAAGCTGGGAGTAAATTAATTCCCAAAATAAAAAGGAAATGAAGCTAATTTATATAATTAAAAGTAACTGTAACCAAGTTTATATTCCAAATGGTGCAGAGATTTGGGGTGTTTCAAGTCTTACAATAAAGGATGCGGATTAAAAACATTTTATTTCTTGTCAATTGAAAACCTAACTAATAGTGTTACAAACAATTTTCTTTAGCAATAATTTGTATAGGTTTTTAATACATCAAAACATTAGGTTTTTGCCTCATCATGATTTCAACAAAGACAAGCATGTTTCCACCCCAGGAAACTCCAAGGCCGTTAAAATTTCTTTGATATCCATCAGCAATGTATTTTCCATTAAGTGAACTGTAACTTAAAGTTGTTAAAATAATACTTATTTTTTAGTTTACGATTAATTAAATACCTGGAACTGCATTTATCGTACCAATAACCACCACTTTCAAGTTGAGCACAGTTTTGAATCCAATTGTCATTATCGCGGTCAAATGTGGTGAACTTTTGTTGCAAACTATGATATAGGTAGTCGCCGGCTGTACCAGAATATTTTCCTAGGGTTTTAAGCTCATATGCTTCAGATTCACTTCCTATTTGGAAATTGTCGTAGTGAGCATAGCTTGTAATTCCTTTAACATCCTTCATCTTAATATAAAGTTCATGTTGTCTTGCATCAGTCATTAAGTGTATCTTTTCCAGACCGATGAAATACTCTTTC